GTGTTGTAACATCCGCTTCCTGCGAGTAATGTGTACATTATCGTGAAGTGTCACTTGAGGTGTAGAGGTATCGGCTTTGTGCGGCCAATTATTTTGTTTCACTGAGCTGAGCTGCTTCATATCGTCCGCCATGCTGTTAGGTAACTGGCCAGTCGGTGTCGTCCCTACCTGCGTGGGATGTTGGGGAGCCCAATGTGCTATCTTTCGCTCAAGGAAAACATCACTCGATGCTGTCTGGATCATGTTATTGGCCGTAGACATGTCATTGGCCGTAGACATGTCAATATTCGTCAGTGGAAATTCAAGAAGTTAGTGAAGTTGTCCACGAATGAGATGAATAATTTCCGTAGCCTCCTACACATGCGTCAGCGTTCTCAAGTGACCATCTTGATCAGAAATCTACTCCGGATGTTGATTGACCTTATTCGACGTAAAAATCAAGTGCTGGGCCTCCGGGACCGAACGGGCCAGCGTCACGTGGATTTCTGCCTTTTCTTCATCCTCAGGTGTAGGGTGCCTAAAAAAATTACTGTCTCCACCGTAGCACAGAGTAAAGGCAATCGATGAGGAACTCCGAGCAACCGTCTTGATAACTGGTCACACACTTACTTGCCTATCTCCGGTACCGGTGCAGTATCGGGTCCCTTCATTATGGTAGGTAAGAATAATAAAAATATAAATTGATTCTCATTTAATTTAGTCCCTATAGAACGTAGTGGAACAAATTCAGTAGTTCAATCACTTAAAAATGTAATCAAACCAAGGAACGCTTAGTAAAGACTGTTAAGTCTGAAATAGGTGAACTCATTCAGAAGTGTCGTTATGAACGGCGCGCCCGCTATATTTATACGAGTTTTTATACGAGAAATTACCCGTATCTAAGGTTGTCGTCTCCTGATACTAAATTATGATGACACCCGATGAGTCATCTTTCTCTCGCACTAAATCCTCTCTTCCACTATCTGGCTCGGTCCCCTAGCCCGGTCCTGAAATAACCTCCTTAGGTCTGGTCCTCTGTTCCAGTCCTCAAATTCCACTTATAGGTCGGGCCCTCTGGTCCTGTCCTAAATATCCGTCCAGGGTACTTTGTCCACAGAGTAACACTTTGTAAAGGGTGTTTAGTTTGAATAAGTGAACTCAGCCAGAAGTGCCATTGTGAATGATACGCCTGCTGTATTTATTGATCCCGTGGGACGAGATTTTCTATAATGAACACAGGTTGTCGTTGTGAAAATACCTATATCTATTGTTTTAGTCTCCTAGATATTAAATCATGATGGCGTCCGATAGGTCATCCTTTTCTCTCACTAAAACCGCTATTCTACTTTCTGGTCCGGTCCCTTGGTCCGGTCCTGAAATAATCTCTTAGGTTCGGTCCTCTGTTCCGGTCCTGAAATCCTCTTATAGCTCCAGTCCTCTGGTTCGGCCCTAAATTTCCGTCTACGGTACTTTGTCCAAAACCACCAGTTACGGATAGCTATTTCTTTTAGCGGACAAGTCTCCCCGTACTTCTCACTTGGGTACAACTCACTTATCGACAGGACAATATGGGGCAACCACTACCAACGGTACTTTGGAGCTTATGAGCTTGCCGAATAATATCGATATAATATTGATGAGCATGAGTACTATGGGCCACCTGGGACTAGGACGTACTGATTAAGCATCTTCATTTCCAAAGATCGCAATGTTATGCACGAACTACTAAAGCCGATCCATCTGCGGATAGCTTCGGATTTACTAAAGCCAGATGATATTCGTCACCGGTTGCGATAGTTTTTCAAGGTGAACGAAAAATACTGGATGCGGTTTACTGTACAAAGCCAGGCAGTGAGGTCTCATTTTCGATACCGAGAGACAAAATACTAGGCTTTCGCCGGTAAACGCGTAATTTTGTATCGAACATGAACAAGCCACACGTACTGAGTTGGTGATCGATTGTCGGGCATCGGTTTCGATCGTGAATCTGCTGACGTACCATATTTTACACCGTCAGGAGAGATCATCAAAGTCCGTTTGTCAATGTTTGAATCTACGGCAGACCAATGCACCCATTCCAGGGGAATAATTTACATTACTGAAGGTCTGTAACGCGATCATCGATAGATTTGAAGGAAAATGGTACTACTTCTCGGCAGAATATCATCGATTGCTGAAACACGCCGACTCCCAGCACATGTTTTTCAGCACGTGGATAGCCAACAATACTCTTTCATGTCGGCGCCGTAATAATTTTGGCGTACAATCAGTAACCCGATGGCGGGTCTGAATGATCAATGCTGTGTTGATGAATTAATCATTGCGTCTGATGACTATGCGGAACACGTTGCTATGGTCCAAAATGTCATTCGACACTTAGAGAAGAACAACTTCAAACTCCGAAAATATCGGCTTCTTTAAGAGATTGACGTTGATCATGAAAAGCAGCAACATTTATTTGACTGGCCGTCACAACGATGTCAAAAGGACACTGCATCCGCTTTGGGTCTGGCGATTCTTTTACATGAGCACACACCCAATTTGACACATAAGGGTACACGTCATTGCAAACATTCTTTGATCATAAGCTTGTTGGAGGAACTAAATGATGTATCAGATGAAGAAAGTGATTGTGTCAGCGGTCCCTTTGAATTTTCCAGTGGATGGCACATCTCTAGAGTTGGAACTGACGCAAGCAGCTGTGGTGTCGGAGGAGTCCTGTTTCAAACAAATAACGGTAGGAAACAATGTTTGATTTTTTCTCGAAAAGACATTGTGCAGCAAATGTACACAAACATATGCTACACATATGGAGGAGCTAATAGCACTCACTTATGCTTTAGTTTATTTACGCTACCATTTAATCGGCTAAACCAGAAGGCAATCATCTACGTGAACGTACAATTGAAAATGATTATTATGTTGCAATGATGGTAGCACATCATTGCACAGTTGAATTTCACAAATGGGACCTTAGATGTGGAGTCGCGTTTATGCGGGAGCCGTGGGATTTAATTTTCCGGCTATGTTCTATACATCTTGCTGAAAGCGGTATCCGATTCTTTTTTAAACCGGTACAACCCTATTTTGGACCCAATGATGTCGATCCCTTTGCCTTACACTAGCCGAAATGCTCAATATCCGCAGTACTGCTCGTACGACAAAGCGGGGGCTTTCAGGTTTGATTGAAGTAAATAC